AATTCCTTGATAAGGCATCGCACAATCCAAGTGTGACAATGAAGCTGGGAGTCAGAGAACACTTCCAGTAAAGAAGCATACAAGCTATCCCATCAAACCTTTGAGCATCAAATAAACAAAAATGTCAAACCTTTGACCAAACACGATAACCTGAGACTTTTTTTTCCTTACTTGACCATCTCCCAAAGATAGCTTTGACCTTGGCACTTGTCAAATAACTATAATTTATTGAAGGATTAACATTGTAATTAATTCTTTGATATCCGATGAACTCTAATTTTATGGTTCGTCTCAATTGTAGAACAGTGAAAGTGACAATATTTTCAAAACTTTGGATCAAACATTTTTCAAAACTCTTTTAATTGATATTTTCATAACTTTGAAAATAAAAGAGAAAGAAAAACATTTTTTTCAAACAAGACAACCTCTCTAGAGTGGATCTTGGTAAATGACATGTGACTCTTAGACACAAAACTCATGCTCATAATCAATGCTGAAGCGAGAAACGAGGAACATTTGGGGCATCTTTGAAGATTCAACATCAAATATTGGGCCATTTTTAGATATTGGGGCATCTTTGGGGATTCAACATCCTAATGCAGATTATCATACCTTTTTCAGGAGATAAAATATAACCAATTCATGTTACATGCATCTTATGCATACATTTTAGAGCATCATATTTATCATTTTTTTCACATACATAATTTTTGCAGCTTTTAGAGTCAAGTTTCGACTTCAAGATGAAGGATACTCGATTCAAAAACACCTTTTGATTGCTTAACTCAGCAGCAGGAAGCTACACTTCAACCAACTCGACAGATTAAAAGATCGACATTCATCTTCAGATTCAACATTTCCAATATAAATTTTGTCTCACTTGAGACATTCTCATTTAATGCAGATGATTATCTCACTTGAGATTCCTTTTTTAAAACAGACTTTGTCTCACTTGAGACTGTTTTACTCGAAAGGAGATTTATTTCCCTCAAGATTTCTTTTCTTAAAAGAAGATTTTGTCTCGCTTGAGATAGTTTCCCTTGAAAAAATTTTTGTCTCCCTTGAGACAGTTTCTCTTGAAACATAAACTTTGAAAACAATTTCCCTTGAAACAAAATCTTTGAATATGTTTTCCTTCAAACAAATTTTGTCTCCCTTGAGACAGTTTCTCTCGAAACAACACAATTTGCTCAAGAGTAGATTTTAACTTCACGACGGAGGATATCTAACTCGAAACCAAACTTCACAATAAAGGGGTCTCCACGGTTTCAACTTCACGGCGAAGGGAATCGTGTCCACCCGCAACATACAATACTTGGATTTCAACTTCACGACGAAGGATATTCAAGTCAAGGCACAACTTCACGACAAATGGGCCATCCGCGATTTCAACTCCACGACGGAGGATATCGTGCTATTCAAGACAACACAAGTTCAACTTCACAACGAAGGGACGACTGGTTGTCAACAAACAATTTCCCAATTTCAGAGTCAATTTCAACTTCACAGCGAAGGATATTGGACTCAAGACAACACAAGTTCAACTTCACAACGAAGGGACGGCTGGTTGTCAACAAAAATTTCCCAGTTTCAGAGCCAATTTCAACTTCACAGCGAAGGATATTGGACTCAAGACAGCACAAGCTCAACTTCACAGCGAAGGGGCGGCTGACTGTCAACAAACAACTTCCCAATTTCATAGCCAATTTCAACTTCCCAGCGAAGGATCTTGGACCCAAGACAACACAAGCTCAACTTCACGACGAATGGGCGGCTGATTGTCAACAAAATTTCATTCAGAGTCAATTTCAACTTCACAGCGAAGGATATTAGACTCGAGATAGCACAAGCTCAACTTCACAGCGAAGGGGCGACTGACTGTCAACAAACAATTTCCCAGTTCCAGAACCAATTTCAACTTCACAACGGAGGATATTGGACTCGGAACAATACTTGGATTTCAACTTCATGACGAAGGATATCCAATTCTCAGGCTCAACTTCACGACGAAGGGGCCCTATACGATTCCAAATTCACAAACAGGTTGACCCAAATTCACGACGAATGAGTCATCTGCAACACATCAACACCAAAGTCTTCAAGTCGAGTTTCAGCTTCACGACAAAGTATCTTTGGCTAGAAGACGATCCATGAGCTACTTCTCAATACTCTGAGTTTGATTTCAACTTCACGATGAAGGATTTCGTACTCAGAATTTTCCAGTTTTGACTCAACCTCACGACGAGGGAGTCATTTCGTGATTTAAAAACCAGTTTCAACATCGAATTTCAACTCTACGATAGAGGATATTCGATATGGACGAAATTTATGTCTTTTAATCTTTGCTCTATTGTCGTTACACGACAATGAGCAAAGAGGGGCAGCTGAAGACACTCAATTTCGACCGCATAAATTATAAAATTATGATATGTATATAATATTATATAATAATTTATAATACACATTGTTATTTACATTTTATTATTTATGTCTACAGGCCTAAATGTTATAAATCCCAACAGACACATGTGCAGCACACCACGTGGCCCATATCCAACAGTAACACACACGGCAACAAAACCCTAGAGCTTCATCAGCGCCGTTTCCAAGCAAGCAAGTCTCCACGAAGCTGTTTCCCTCAATGACTCTTCCTCACCCACGCCTCCAATCTTCATGCCGGTTTTCTCGGCGCCGTGAACTCCTCAACATCAAACAACCATCAACGACGTGACTCAGAGGGATTCATTCACAACCAACCAAGCAATGATTTAGTCCAAGTAAAATGCTAAGAAGTCGGGACTAAGGCTAGTATTCTTAGACTATAAATACAGGTAATCAAACACACTGCAAGAGGGTTGTACACGATTTGCAGTGGAAATACAAGAAATATATGAGCAAAATCCCAAAAATATTCAGAGCATTCGAAATCCTTTTTTTCTCTGTAAAAATTCGATTAGAAAATCACTAAGAAAAAATTAGAGAAATCATACGAGCAGAGAGGTTACATACGGAATATACGACGTGGGATTTGAAGTAAGGCAAAAAAATACATACGAAAATACACAGGAAAGCGAAGAGGCGAAGAAGAAACAAAGGGTAACCCGAAAACTTATCGTTTGGATTCACAATGATCGAAAACTATTCTTGAAAATCTGAAGATTCGAAGCACGCCCAACACGAGGAATGACATACTCCGTCCATAGCTCGATCCAACAGTTCAAACTCACATACTCAAGGTAAAATGACCAAGATTTTCTTTCTTCTTTCTCGTGTTGAAGTTCGAAATGTGGCTACTGCAGAAAATAATGTTTCTAGGTAAAAACCCTTTAAATTGCATTTCATGTAAGACCCACGAGCTAATATAGGGGTATTTGAAAAAAAACATAAGAAGAGTTGGTCTTCTTTTGTGTTGACCCAGTTTAGCTCAGCAGTGAGCAATGAAAATAAGCGCCCGATGCAAGTTCCTTGATTGATTTTATAACTCTATCTATTTTAAATATTTATGGTTTAGTTCAATATTACCTCTGAATGATGCTTATACTATTTTTGTTCCAATGGAAGGATTTTACTTGGATATTCGTACCAAACCCATACTAAGAAAAAACAGAATTGGAATTTGCATACCCATCACCCTGTTTTGGATTTTCTAAGGATTAATCCATGATTTAGCCATGTCATCTTTCAATATAATTCATTTTGGTCCTTTTATTTTTTTTATTATTTTACTCTTTTACTAACTTTATTTTCTTTGGTATCTATTTTATTTTATTATTATATTAATATTTTTCTCTTTTTATATTTATTTTTATTTTACAATCTAATAATATTTTGACTTTAGGGATATTTTTTCAACCAATCAAGGGTGAGTAATTTGAATCGGATAATTTGAATTTTAATTTAAATTTTCAATTTTCGCAAATAAAGACAACAAACAAATTAATTGGTACCGAAAGGGCGGTTCAAGGGTGCTAATCCTTCCTTGACTATAACTGACTCCCGAATCCGACATATCTCTGGTAAGACGCAGATCAGATAAGAAATAAAGTATCCGATCAACCCACTTTTCGTAAAATAAATGATCGGTGGCGACTCCAATCTATATTTTTCAAGTCAAAGCCCAACTCCGGAGCCCAACCGAAAGACGGTTACGACACCTAGTTATTTTCCGTTTTCCAAAATGGTGAATAAACTACTCAGATGCCATTTTATACAATTCAGTCCTAATTTATTTAATTTGTAAATTCAAACTCTTTCTATCACCCAAATTAAAAGATAAGGACACATTTGGAATCCTCATTCTATAAGTTTTCTATCGCTAGTGTCGATTTCAAGTATTGGATAAGTTGAATCAACCCCTAAATTGAATCCAAATTAAAGTTTATGACAAAATTAAGAGTTTTTAAATTGATCAGTTGAGATGATGAATTGTCATTGATTATGTGTTCTTCTACCTTCCTACTGCAATAGGATTCAATGGGAGTAATTCAACACCGAGAAAAGGCTAAAATTCTCGTAAATTCTTGAACCTAATCAAAACTGAGCAACTTCAGTTGATGACAGTGTAATTACTTTTATTGTATTTTGATTGTCAATCACATGTTTGTTTTGATCATTACTAGACAAGTAATGTTACATATATGATATTGATCCAATTAGAGTAACAAGGATGGCAACATTGATATTACACGTATTGATAAGCTTTATTTTTACTGACATGATATTGTATATTGAAATGTTATGAAAAATCATTGACATATACATAATGCATTGATGTCAGACATGCATTTTAGACAAGATCGAACCTATATGATTATATATATTCATATTAAAGCTATGAGCTCAGTTATATTCATGGGTAAGTATTGTTATTGTGTTTATAAATAAAAATACATTAGGTCTACCGGAAATAAATGAGGGTCTTATCATTGCTAATACTCAAAACCAACTTTAATACTAAATATCACCATCCACACCAACTTATAAAATAATATTCCTAAAGATTTATCAACAAAAGAACTCCTTACATGTTGAGTGAAACAATGGCTTTAAACTTTCACTTAACTGTCACTTAACCGTCGACTTCAAAAATGGATTACTAGGTCGTTCTCCTACAACCTTCTTTGATTCCTCATTTGAGGACTTCGACACAGGATTAGATGGATCCTTCTTTCCGTCCCGAATATTTGGCAACTTCGGAAACGAGTTTGAAGGGCCTTGACTATCTGAGTTCTTCACTTCCTTCACACCATTCACATGGCTAGACCCATCATTCTTCTCTGCATCCTTTACCTCCTTGCTGTCCTCTAGATTTGCACTTTGATCAATGCCTGTCTTTTGCTTTCCGAATTTAACTCGTTCCAAAGGTTTTACTTTCTTTGTAAACACAGGAGCTGAGAGTTTAGCTGAAGATGGAGCAAATGGTTCCAATCTTTCAGTTGCAGTATAGGGCTTGTTGACTGCAAGATCATGTTTTGAACTTGAAAGACCAGTGTTTGAATCCATTGTTTTATTTCTCAACCTTTCCTGTTTATAAAAGGGGTATTAACAAAAATATCAGAATCCAAATGTAGCAGTTTTAGAAGTTGGATTTGTTTAGATGTTACAGGCTAACCTCCAGTATTTCATTGAATCGTTCAGCCAAAATAGGAAGCTTCAATGCAGTGGCAAGTTGTATTGCACCTCTAACTGATTTTTCGACAGATAAAAGCTTCACAAGTTCGATGGCTCTCACAAGTTTGTCACCTGCAAGAGCAGCCAGAAACGGGGTTAACGGAGTTAAGATCAGCCAGGGATAACGCCATGAAAGATTTAAACATAATTTCAAAGACTCACTGTTGCAGCAGGATGCAATTAGCCGGAAGATGCATCGATCTTGTGCTGCCTCTATGTCGAAAGCCTCATCGTCAAGAGAAGTAGTGTCCAAGCCTTCACCAGCTGTAGCTTCTATTTGTTTCTGAATCTGCAGGTTTATAGTTAACACAAGAAAAATCTTAAGCAACTCAAAAACTGCATCAAAAGCCAAAATGCAGAAATAAATAAAGGGATGGCACCTTTGAGAGATGCAGATTGTTTAGCATAAACTCATTTTCAAGGGCTTCTTCTCCAAGATCAGAGGATGCAAGAGGAAATGACAGGCTTATCAGAGTAAGAACAGGTTTAGGGAGCACCTGAAAAAAGAGAGAACGGCCATAACTCCCTGATTTAAAGTTCAAAATATAAGGGAGTGGAGATGATCGGTTATAATACCTGTGGGAATGTATTTGGATTCTTACAAACAACACAAAACAACTTGCTCGCATTCAACCCGATCACCCAATAATTCTCACCAGATTTCCTTTCTTTGTTGGCACTGCAAAGAACAACGCACAATGATTGCATAAATACGGCAAAGTTTTGAAGTAATATGCAATATTAATCAAAATATAACTTCTGTATCCTTGAAAGAAGAATATCAAACCTGAAAAGAGGAAGCCAGTTGCCACCATATTGGCTTGTGAAAACCCTTAGAAAACCCTGCATTTTTTTAAGGTTCAATTTAAAAAATAAATGTAGTTATTATGATAACCTGAAAACAGAGTTCTTGAATACCTTTGAATCATAAGAGCTTATCTGGCCTTCTTCACTAAACCCAAACCACGTTAAATATGAACCGGGAGTTAATGGAAGACGACCTCTGAAGACTTGGGTTCCTTTAGATATGTTGAATAATGTAAACTCTAGCATCTGCATATTGTAGATAAAAAGGAATCATATAATTTAAGGTCAGGCTCCAAGACTGAGATTCACCAACTATTGCTGCTCACCAAGGCCCCTGTAGCAACTTAGATATTACATATGAGATATGCCCTCCAAATACATGGAATAACTTAGGGAAAAACTAAACAAACATGCGTCAAATGCATACCAATACTCAAATCCAAGTCTGAGTAACACTGGATACTAACATGTTGATGTTAGGTGAATCATTTGAGGCATGCAAGGAAGAAGTCATAGTAATAATAACATACCTGCTCATTAGATGGAAGACAATCAGAAACATGGTTGACAATTGCTAGCTCATCATTGAAGCCTGCTGCAGTCACCACTGGTCCATTAAGTGAAAGAATATGTTTCTGCAATAAATATCATAAGAGAAACAAATGAGCACAAGAACAAACCCAAATTCCTTTGTAATTAAGATGATTACAAACATAAGCAGCATATATAGGTTGCCACCAACACTCCCATTCTGTCATAATTACTTATTCATCTACTAGCTGGTTCTATCAATTGCAAACCAACACATTTTTCCTCAAGTGTTGTCATACATTCTTATGGTTTGATATTAACGTGAAAAACTTACATTCTAAATTACTGACTCAAGCATGAAGGTCAGACATGTATATGTCTAACACATCTGTATTCATGTTTTACCAAGATTTTCTTGTATTTGGAGAGTCCTTTTAAGACGATATCAGACAGATCCTTCATATCTGTTAAAACTTAAATCATAGATGTGACATTACTTGATTCCAGCTATCTTCGATATGAATATAAAAACCAAACATGCAATGATAATTTTCCAAGAAATCATCATTCAGAAGAATGGATAATGAATAGACCATACCAAACTGAATTATGTTTAACACTGCAATCATATCATGAAGCATGCAAGAAACAGTATTAAGAGATAAACCTGCAAACCACCATTAGTGAAGATTCGAAGAAAATTAAGGCTTGTAATTGCAGCTACCCATGTTGAACCAAGTGCCACTGCTCTTACTTCTTCGCCTTCGAATCGCATATACCACTGAATTCACAATAAAATGTACCAAAAAATTATCACATTCTGAAACTAATCATAAGCACCAATGTGAACATTTACAAGATCGGCATGTATCCAAACTGAAGCATAAAAGTAAAGTACGGAATTTTTTCAAGGAAACTACTCTAACCTCACTGTTATTAGCCCAACTGCAAAAAGGACGGTACATGAGTGTACTCATGTTCTTCTCGCTCTTGCATGGATTTGCAAAAACACTTCCATTTTCATTTAGTGAAGCCATTGTGAAACCATAATGATCAGTCATTGGTGGAACTCGTGGACCGATGCTAGTGTCATGAAAATCTATCTGCATCAGACAAGCATTTGCTATCAGAATGCAATGGAGATAAAGACATGTTTTTTTCCCTTTCTGCAAACCCAATTTTTCATAGATCACAAAATATGCTAATCACCCAGCCCAAACAATTTATCACACAAAATAAAAAGGATTTAACTAAACAAAGGGCATAAATACCTCTATATGGGAATATTCATCCTGTTCCATTGTAGTTATACTTCCAAGCATATTGTAGCACAAGAAATGCCTTTTTCCAGGTGCCAGGGGGGTCGAACCTGGCTGAAAAGCCTCTTGCAATTTTGGCCTAAATGACATTACGGTTTTCAATGCATCTTTTTCTTTATCCAAAATTTCCTTGTTAACTCGGTGCACTTTTCTCTGGGGTTTAGCTTTAGGAACCAAGCTTAACTCATCATAAACATCTTCATGCTGATCATAATCGTCTACCAACTGTTTTCGCAATCGTTTTCTGCTAGGAAACTCAGACTCACCAAGATCACTTAAACTGCCTGACATGCTGACCTCCTGATCTTCCTCGTCATAAAATAGGAGACCATTGTTCCTCGACTGAGAATTCGGTATGTCTTCCGTAGGGGACTTCATTGAAGACGGAACAACCGATTCCCACACTCCATACTTTCCCATGACATCAATGACAGCTAGTGCATTTCCAATTGGCTTCCATGCCATACAACATATTCTGTCATCAAATTTCTGCCTGTCAATATCTTGCTTCCTCTTAACATCCCAGATCAAAACTTGCTTATCCAAACTGGAAGTAGCCATGTATCTCCCATTAGGCGACCATGACATGAAACAAATTGGCTGCATATGATCGCCTCTCAAAGTAAAAAGCTTTTCAGCCGTGTCCCTATCATACATCACTATGTCATTTTTCAAACCAGGGACAGCTAAAGTCTCCCCATCAGGACTCCAGCTAAGTACATTTAAAACTGAAGTATCCATACCGGTATCAGGAGCTACACCTTTGAGGGTATATAATGTTCTTCCGGATTGAAGTTCCCAATATATAACAGTTCCAGTTGAATCAATTGATGCCAAGTATTCTCCATTAGGATCAAAAGCTAAACCTGTGACAGGCCCTCTATGCCCTTTAAGAACCCTAGAAATTGAACCATCAATTGTATTAATAAGTTTAATGCCCTCATCATCACCAGCAGCTGCCAGCATACTTCCCGATTTGTTAAAAGCAAGTGCACGTATTGGCAATGTGAATCTGGTAATATTAGTCTCAAATTCGCCGCCTAAGAAAATAAATAAGAGAACCATTAAACCTTGCTCTCCATGATGTAACATATTATCAACCAGATTCTATATATGATCAAATCGAATAATTCTTGATTCCAACAAGTACCCAGATAAAAAGAGACCAAAAAGCTACCTATCACAATTTTTTTTTTTTAAAAAGAGGGGAATACCTGGAAATTTATAGAGCTTAACCGAATGATCAATAGATCCAGAAGCAAGACAAGTAGAATTGGGGCTAATCGCCAACGCCGTGACACCATCTCGGTGGTGGCGAAGAACCCGTGGCGGATGCGAAGGAAGAAGGGGATCGTGAATGGAGACGGACGGTTGAGATGATGAAGCAGTGACCAAGTGGTGAGATTGGAGATCCCACAAGATGGAGCAGAAGGAAGCATTGGAACTTCCCTCGTGTGCGTCTCTTAGCTTCACTGATTTGATTTTCATGGCGTAGACTTTTGGGGGGGGGGGAACGGAGGAGTTTTGGTGTGTTTTTAATTCTTTCGCTCTCTTCGGTGGGTGTTATACATTGCAGTATGGTTTTGGCGGGAAACTGAAGCCATGGATTTTGGATTTCGCGGGTGGAACTTTAAACTTGGAGGGAAATAATTCACTGAAGGAACTGATTTAATTTAGGGCAAACTAAACGTTCAGTACCCAACTATTATGTTTGTTCCGTCTTAATAAAACTCTAATTTTTTCCAAAATGATGCTTAATGTTTAGTTTAGACTTCATTTTAATATTCGCCGTTAAAAATTAAAAGAATGCCTAATGCCAAAAATAGCCCCCCAACGTTTACTAAAATGGCAATTTAGCCCATATTTTTTTTGAGAGCATTTTGGCCTACAACGTTTCACTTTTGGGCAAAAAACTTCTCTATATATGAAAACTATTAGATAACACATGGTTAACACTAAAAAATATGAGCATATTTAACCTAAAATGAAAAGTTGAAGGCTAAAATTACCCATAAAAAATAATAAGGGACAACTTTATTATTCTGTCAAATGTTAGGACATTTTTGCCATAAAATGAAATGTTGGGGCCAAAATGCTCCAAAAAATATAATATGGAGCAAAATGACAATTTTTGGAAAACATTGGGGGCTAATTTTGGTATTATGCCTCAACAGGATTGATGACTTTTTTTTGAGTAAACTACATATTTAGTACCTAAATTATTAATTTTCATTCATTTTAGTACCTAAACTTTCATTTGTTTCAATATCATACCTAGCATTTACTTTTTGTTTCGTTTTGGTACCTATCATTAAAAACTTAGCAGAATTGTTACAACATGATACTTTTTATGGGTAAATTAAATCATTCATCACTCAACTGTCTTCTTACTCTTATTTTGTTCAATAATTTTTTTAATTTAATCACTTAAGTTTCAAATTTATTTATTTTTAATTTAATTATATATTAATAAAATAATAATGAATGATATGTCACAAAAATTATTAATAAAATAAATTAGAGTGATTAAAACATGAGTAATTTGAAAGTTGAGTTGTTAAATTGATTTTTTTTTAACTTTAGGGACCAAAATATGAATGAGAAAATAGTTAAGCAATAAATGATGTAATTTACCCATAAAAAAATGCCACATGCATGCAGCAGCTCAGTTAATTTTTTAACTACATGTACTAAAATGAAATAAAAAGTAAACGCTAGGTATGATTTTGAAAGAAATGAAAGTTTAGGTACTAAAATGAAACAAAACTGATAGTTTATGTATTAAACATATATTTTACTCTTACTTTTTTTTCAATGATAACGCTAAGTTTTTAACGGCGGTATGCCAAAATGAAACTTAAACTAAATGTCAGATATGATTTAAAAAAATGAAATTTAGACACTAAAACGAAATAAAAATAATAATTTAGATACTAAATGTCAGACATAATTTTAAAAAAATGAAATTTAAATACTAAAACGAAATAAAAATAAAGTTAGAAAACCATGTGTTTTATCAAGAGATATCATGAAAGTAGTTAGCCAATATGGTCATTCTTCATGAGTATTCATTATATATTGTTGAGCACATTGGGTTTCAAAAATTCATCAACAACTTAAATCCAAGTTTCAATATAACCTCACGCAATACTTTGAAAAATGACATCTTGAAACTATTTGCAAGCAAGAGATAAAATTTGAAGAAATTATTTGATGATTATAGGGGGAGAGTGACAATTACTACTGACATGTGGACAGCTTCGAATCAAAAGAAAGGTTATATAAAACCTTGAGGTATATATTATGTTAATTTATTTTTTTGCAAACTTTTAAAGGGCTTCCTACTTGTTTTGTTGTTGTGTTCTTCTAGTGATTTTTTATTTGTTCAAAAACTAACGTGTTTTAATTATTTCATCTTATAATTGGTTTGTTTATGTTCCTTGTCCACATGCTGCCAACGTGCATGCCCAAATTTTGATAAACTCTTTGAATGTGTATAAATATTGCTAAAAAAATCTCATCTGTGGTACTAGATAATTATTCAACAAATGATGCTATGATTGATGTGTTACAAGAGAAATTTGATCATGATATTCTTTTATCGGGTGGCAATTTTTTGCATGTGTGTTGTAGTGCACATATTTTGAATTTAATTGTTCAGGATGGTTTGGAAGTAATTTTTAGGATTAAAAGGATTCTTAATTGTGTTGCATTTTGGACTGCAACTCTTAATAGAGTTCAAAAGTTTGAGGATAAGGCTAGAGCTTCGAAAATTGATTATTTTAAAATATTGTCACTTGATTGTAAAACAAGATGGAACTCCACTTATTTTATGCTTATAAGTGCTTTGCCATTTAAAAATATCTTTGCTAATTTGAAGACTCAAAAATTCTAACTTTAAGTTTGTGGTTCCTCAACGTGATTGAGAGTTGGCTGAAATTATTTGACATAAATTGAACAAGTTTCACAAAATGACTGAGTTGTTCTCTAGTAGAAAATATCCTACTGCAAACTTATTTTTTCGAAAAGTATGTGAGATCAAAATAGCACTAAATGCTTAAAAATATAGTGATGATGAGCAAGTTATTAGATATATGGCTAAAAAATGATGGAGAAGTTTAACAAATATTGTTCAAATATAAATGAAATTTTAGTAGTTGCAGCCATTTTGGACCCTCGAAATAAGCTAGAGTGCGTGGACTATTACTTCAATAAAATATATGGTGATGATGCTGATGCTAAGATAGAAAGGGTTCGAGGATTGTTGTATGAACTGCTTCTTGAGTATCAAGATAAACCTAACAATGAGAATTATGTCTCTTCTACTTCTTCTAATTGTGATAGATTGTTGGGTAAGACAAATGCAGTTAATAATCCTAATGAAAATAGCGAAGAGGAAGTTGATAAATGGACTAAGATTAAGAGGATCCATATTAAGAGGACTAAAAAAAGAAAAGCTAATGTGAGGTGTGAGTTGTATCACTATCTTGAGGATGATGCATTACTCGAGAGTAATGAATTTGATGTGCTTCACTATTGAAGAATTGATTTAAAATTTCCAATCTTGAGAAAAATTACTAAGGATATTTTAGCAATTCGTGTATCTATTGTAGCTTCAAAGAGTGTTTTTAGCATGGTGGGAGGACGTTCAGTCCTAAACGTTCAAGCCTTCGTGCTGAAACGGTGGAGGCTCTCATGTGTATGCAAAATTGGATATTTGGAGAGTATTCAGATAAATTTATCATATTTTATATGCATTTGACTTTTTTTCTTCTTCTTCTTTTATCTTATAATTTTATAACGTGTTCATTATATTATTATTTTAGACTCTTGTTTTGGTAATGCACAAGTATGTGCTACTATCTTAGAGGATAATGATGTGGAAGACGATGAATGTTCATCAAGTGAAATTCTTAACGTTAACTTGATAATTTATTCATATTATTCTCTTAAATTTATTTATTTTTGCTTCAAAAGTTATGTCACTATATTTTATTTTCCCATCTATGACAGGATGGTGAGGACCTTTGAAGGTGATTATGTGAAGAACTAATGGCAATAGCTTTATTGTAAGATGAAATAACGAGGCAAAGGTTGATGCTTGCTCACTTTATGTAATTTTTTAGGCTTTTGTTTACTATTGGGAAGTGAGAACTTTGTTTATGTAATTCTGTTATATGTTAAGAGTATTGGAAATTTAAAACTTTAATAGTAGGTGACTTAATGTATTAAATATTTTTAGTAAGATGTTACATGTATCTTCAATTATGATTTTCTAGTAATAGAATCTATTTAAAACCCGATCCACCCACCTCATCCGCAATTGATGGGTGGAATGGATTTGAGTCGATGATCAAGCGGGTGATGGGTGGGTTGTATGACAATTTTATATGCCTATTGTTGGGTGAGTTAAACTCTAACCCACTCAAATCCGACCTATTATCAACCCTATATTCAATTTCAAATTAACGTGATTTTAATTATATAATTATATGGTTTCATTACCCAAAAACAAATTAGAATTTCAATGTATTATAGATATATATAAGTTTGTATAACGAATATTATTCAATCCAACTAGCTGGTTTTAAAATAATAAAATATATTCAGAAAATTGATGTCCTCTTATATAATATATTTTTGGGGTTTGGGTATAAAACTTCAATCATTTTAAATTTTAGATTTTTGAAAATCCTAATTCTGAATTCCCTAAACCAATTGGTGCCCATTTTCACCAATTATTTTGGTTCACCGGAATAGTTAATCAACGAGTGTTGATTCAATCAGTTCATCTCAACCAACCCCTCCACCCAATCAACAGTCAGTCATTCTATCCCAACAACATAGCCAAATAGAACCCAACAATAATTGAGCCCTCGAGTGATCTCTACTCTTAAGAAGCCACCTTCGACTGGAGCAGTAACAGAAGAAATCGTGTCCTCTTTAGAAGCAACAACGAACGATGACTGTGTCCTCAAAAGCCTTACTTAAAACCAAACAACAAAGGTAGACTAAATCAAATCCAAAGGAAAAAAGAATGGTCAATGAAAGGAAAGAGGTTTCATTCCCAGCGACGGAGGCATCGTTTGGGGTTCCCAACGGTGGATATGCTCCTCAGGTCACCTGGAAGTATATATCTCAAAATCGGTGTCACCGGACGATTGACTACGTAGATTAGAGTTTTTTTTTGTTGGAGCTAAGGAGTCCCATGTAGATCTACGACAACGGTGAGGTTTTTCGAGGAAAATGACCTTGAAATTGCGCTAGGCAACAAATGCTCCTGGAAATGCAGAATTCTAGAAAGAGATTTAGAGGATAAAAGATAAATGGGGAATTTAGTCAAAAAGTGGGCTTATATACCCCCTCCAAAATGACATAGTTTTGGGAGGGGGCAGCTGAAGCCAAAACGATGTGTTTCGGTTGAACCGTGAGTTGACCCGACCTGACTTTGGTCATCTTCAGTCACCGTCTTCATCGTACCCATTGACCGGTCATTGTTATTACCATTACAAGTCTATAAATCTCTAAAT